TTATTTGAGTACTAGGGAAGGGAAAGGTCCAAGTGCTTGGACTTCACATTCAGGGATCTCTTCATTACAGTTGGGTTATTTGTATGAGCAAGGAGTGTAGGATAAGGTCCTGTATTATGCAAAAGTACGTGACCCAAGACGTGGCCTAGTCACAAGGGTTAGATTCTGATCCAAATGCTGGGGCAGGGCAGGTGTGTTCGGAGCTGAGCTTCTGGACTGGACACATTGCTGGACATCACAAGTCCTGAAGACTGCAGGAGGAATTTGCTTTCACTAAGAAATAGGGTTTTAACCACCCACAAAAACCACCCCATCCAAACACATTAAAAAACTCATCTTTATCTGCCTGCTTAGTTTGCAGAACCCATACTTGCCTCTGTGTCCTGCAGATGGTCTCTGAACTCTGTAACAAATCTGAGCCCACCTAAGACAAAGCAGTTGTTACCACAGGGTTCAGGTGCGGCCCTAACTTTAGCACAGAGACATCAGAGGTAGAAAATAGCATTCCTGTTCAACGGCCCTGTATCCAAGCCCTTGTGCTGCAGGAGGATCTCTCCTAGCTGCCTTAGCTCTACAGCACACAGCCGAGCAGTTCAGACTCCAAGAGGCAGAGCGGCAGTGAAAGGCCTGCCCTCCCCAACTACTCTATCACAGTTTTAATTATACTAATTGATGCTACACAACAACTTCACCTCAAGGTTTATTTGCTAGTTTGCAACTACAGCCAAATGCCAGATCTTGGTCTGCATGGAACTCATGCCCTTCCACCGAGTTAGCCTCCCAGCTTCAGAAACCTGTATTTCGGAGCTCGAGGCTGCTAGAAGGTGGAGCAAAGACAACTAAATTCCTACAGGCTCCAGAAGCTTTTTTTATCATTTCTTTAAGACATCCCATGTGGTTCTAATAGACACAGCCCAGCTCAGCAGTGCCCAACATCAATCCGACCACATGAAAGGGAAGTGCATATCCAAGAATTGGCTGGCGTGCAGTTGCGGGGATCAAAATGCCGATGCCATGAAATGACAATACCAAATACACTCATCCTTCTGCTTTATTTTTAACGGCCCACTCTTCCCATTGCCTTGTTAAACAAAGTTGCTTGCTTGCATGCTGCCAAACCACTGCTGAGTTCATCCCAAATCCCAAACAGCGACAGAGAAGGGGGAAGAAGCATTGCTCAGCCCAAAGGGTGAGGTCAAGGGTTCTTTCCCTTTCGGGTTCCCTCTAGAGTTTATGCAGCATCCCAGATAAGGGCACTCACGTGTCACCAAAAAGCAACACAAATGATCATCTGGAAGAGACAACACCAAGCCACCATGCAGATCCTTCTCAAGCCAGGCAAGGGCATTGGTTCGCTGCTGACTTGGAGAGCTCTTGCTACCTACCGAATTGTACATGGCCACAGTCTGCAGCACACATCTTTCCTTGTGCACCCCCTACACACCTGTGCACTTGTAAGGAGGGCAAAACGAGTCGCTACGCTCAGACACTAGGACAGTGGAAGTCAACATAAAGAATCTAGATAGACTGGAAAAAAACATACAGTTTACCTTTTGCTTCTGGCAAGTGTACACCCAAGCCAAGACATGCCAAAGGATAATCCTTCTTAAACCACAGCCTAGAACCATGCAGCCCCACGTGATTCATGTTCGGGATGGCACGCATCAACCAGCTACAGCACAAGGCATCTGGACTGTCACCTCTTCCAGTAGCTTACATCTCCCAAGCAAGCAACAGGCATGCCTTTCAGTTTAGTCCATGACTGATTCTGATTGCAGGGAGAAAATTAAGACAGCAGTTTCCTTTTAATTACAACCACCTGGAGGGAGGGTGAGACATGGGAACCGCTGGCAGGGCGTACTAAGCACAGTTCAATATAGGAATGTAATTAAGCTAGTGCGATGGTACAAGAATGCCCAGATGCGCAGCGTGTTCATTCTAACCTACGCAAGTGACCCACTTCCCACTGGCTGAATGAATGAATCACGGGTCCTGCTACCATCTGCTACAGAGGGCAGTGCTGACTACCGCAGGAAAGCTCCCGGAGTTAACACAACTCCTCAGTCTTTGCACGCGGCGTTTGCAAGATCCTGCCTTTATGGGGTGCATTCAAAGGTAACAGTCAGGATCATTTGCAAACTCCATATCTACCCTTGGACATGCCCTTGGCCATGTAAATCTCTTCCCTTTAATGTTTGCCTCCCTTTTTTGTCTTCGCAGGAAAAAATAAAGGACCTTCTGAGTTTCACTCTTGTGTACAGCGCGTTAGGTGCTTCCCTTCAAGGCAGCGGGGGTGGGGAAGAGTGCGACAGTAATGAGGTGCTGCCCCCATTAGACAGTGGTTTTGCATGGGGATGTTTAGCTTAAAAAAATTTCCAGCATGAAATTTTTTAAATCTACTCGTCTGGGGTTTCATCCCAAACTACTGCTACATACTGAGCCTTTGGGTCAAGCTTGACCAGACAGAAGGATGCTCTGGCTGGTGGTGGGGGAGGAGGGAAGAGGCCTATTTCTATATTCTGCATTAAAGAGGGATCACATCAGACACGCATCAGTCCCAGGGGCAGGATCCAGACCCCCAATTCAGCTCCCTTTTCTGCTGCCTGTCAGGAGATACCCTATACCCACAAGCTGCACTGTCACCCCCTCCTTTGTGCCCCCCCTCAATTTTTTTTATTCCTATCTGCCTCGCCACACATCCTAGGTACAGACCAGCCCACAGCCAAGCTTTTGGGGCACTCTCCAGGGTGGAAACAAGAGGAGGGATCCAAACCTGTGTCTCCTGCTTCAGGGAGACTGCTCCAGCCCTCAGGCTATCATCTGAGAGGCTGCCACCGCTGGCCTTGTATTAAAAAATAATAGCAGCTACCATCACATTTGATGAAGAGCCCCATTCTGTCAATGCATGTTAGGCAGATACCTGCTGGAGCAGGCCCCTCTCAGTGGCCTTGGACAGAGGAACTCTTCATTTTTGGATCCTGATAAAACTGTGATGCAAAATGCAGGCAGTTCAGAGCCTGTACAGCAGCCCAAAACTAGGTGCTTAGGGGGATCTTTAACATCAAACAGGGAAGCTCCTTATAGTGTTCAGGCATCTCTGGGGTGAGGCGTCAGCTGGGCAGGGGTTTTCAGAAATACGTTTTGGGTTTGGTCAGAAATGAAGCCCCCACGTCCTGCTTTAGACATCTGAGGACTTGGGCTGACAGAAGTTACTGAGAGGTGTGAAACAGCATACGGACTTTCCACGTGTCAGCTCCTTTACAGAAACGGTGTGCAAACATGTTCTTATCCGGCAGTACGTGAAAGCTAAACCCTAACAGCTCACCCCTCTGGCTCTTCTTTTCTTCAGGCTCCAGTTTCCCACCTGTAAAAGGGGGATAATAATCTTCTCCCACTGGGGATTTGCAGATAGTAAAATATATTCACATTTGCATAGCACTGAGATACTACACGTAAGAAAGCCATGTTGATACATGGTCAGGCCGATCACAATCCTCTTAGTGATGGTACTGGGAAGAATGGAGTTATCTAAGTATCACATTTGTACACGTGGAAACAATTCTGTTTTGCCTGCTTGCAAAGATTCTCACTCTCTCGAGTAGCTGGTAGGAGGAAGGCAGGCAAGGTAAGGCTCTATTGCTAATTAAACACTGCCGTTGGCTTTGCTTGGACATACGACCTTCTGCAGAGGGATGCACTTAAAACACCCGGCCTTGATCGAAGAATTCCTGTACGTTAGACAGGTGCTGTAGCAACCAGGTGCTCCTGAGACTACAGAAAAGCAGTGACTGAATCAAGGTGCCGCAGCCTTACAGGATAACAGCCACTAGGGACCTGCATGAAGATTAAAGTCACGATCACATCTCTGGTGGAAGAGACTGAGCTAACAACCCCGCTGCATGTTTACTTGGAAACAAAGCACCCGTCATTAATGTTAACATGCTGTGAAGTAAAAAGGTTTTATGTACATGGGCTTGGAACAGAGCAGAACTTTCTGTATGGAGAGCCAGTTTAGCAAGTGCACTTGCAGGTTTGGGAACTAATAACATTTTGTACTTCTATGCAACCGGCTGAAAGCACTTTGCAAACTTCCTTCCAATGAAGTTCACGTGCTCAGGGAAGAGATGCCATTTAATGCTTATTCTACAGATGGGGAAACTGAGGCACAGAAGTACTTCATTGCTCTTACAAGGCCACATAGAGAGCTAGATCTTATCTGCTTATGGATCTGCACCACTTTAGCAAGTCCCTGTGTGGACACTCTTAATCAACAACAACTTATTCTCAGTCAATTTAAACCTGCCCTAAAATGAGTGAAACAAAACTTAAAGCAGCCTGGTTTAAAAGGAGATGCTCACACAGACTTTTGCAGAGATTTGACTAAATTGGTTTGAAGTCACACCTTACATTCATCTTACACTTAGGTCAGTCCTGTGTGTGGAGCAGAACACACACAGGCAGACTGCTGGACTAGCCAAAAAAGTAAAAAAAAGAAAAGAACTGCACTGTCCTAAATAATGCCCTGATGGGCAAGCTTGGGCAAATTCCTTAGGCTCCCTCTGCCTCAGTTCTCCCATATGCAAAATGGGAACAAGGCCATTGATTCCCTTTGTGCAGGGCTTGGAGATCTACTGTACAAAAGCATCATACAAAGAGTATAGTATAAATGATGCATGGTTAATATTTACAGACGTCACTGTTGGAACCTAATGTACCTCTCATACACCTTTCTTCTTTAAATCTGGTGAAACCTTCCTGACTTGTAAGAGCAGCAGGACAACAGAACAAGGTGGTGGAATTCTCTTCGCTGGGAGTTTTCAAGAGGCTGGAGAGGCATCAGTCAGGGGAAGGGGAGATGTAGGGTTGGAGACTGTGAATCCTGCATCTCTGCAAGGGTATGGACTGGACGACCCTCCAGATCCCTTCCAGCTCTATGAATCCACTGTGTTGCATTTTCATTGCAACAGCTGAGACTAATCAGCGTCATGGAAAATACCGACCTCCAAATAATTCTGGACCCCGAACACGGGCTGATCTGCCGGCGTCCGTACAGCACCACTGCAGAGAAAGAGAGAAGCAACAGTTACTGTCGACGGCCAAGCTCCAGCCAAGTTCTCAACACAGACGACAGCATCACGCTGAGACACGAGGCTGGGTACACCGGCCAAAAAAGTGACAGCCACCATTTTACCAAGCAACTCATTGTCACAGGGATGCAAGAAACTTTTTGTATCACTTACTCAGGGCCACATGCTACCTTTTCCTTCTGTGACGACGTGGGAGCAGCAAACAGTAGGATCCAGCTGGCAGCTTGCAGGGAGGAAAGCCAGGAAAAAAGGGCACCCTCCCACTGCCATATAATGCAGAGGCCCCTTGGCAGGTGCTACTTTGAGAAGGGGGCTCAAGTGCTGGATGGTGGAGGATGAGCCTCCCCCTAAGAGCAACCATCTCAGGTGTGGGGGGATGCCAGGAGCCAACAGAATTATCCTTTACTGCACAGGCCCAGCCCAAACCCATTAAGAGAAAAAGGCAGGTTCAGTGGGTACAGCAGCAGCCTAGGACTTTGGAGACCCAGTTTTAAGCCCCTGCTCTGACACCAACAATCACTAAAGGCCACATGCTCAAATGTATCTAACAATGGGGACAGACACCAAGTGGGATATTCAGTGTCTCTGAGACAGGATCACTGATGTTTCTGACAACCCCCACAAGGCACCTATCTGCATTTGTATGCAGTTAAATGCCTTAAGAATCTGGCCTTTACTTCCCTGACTTTAAAATGAGGAATAAAAATGCTGACCTACCTTGCAGACACATTGTGAAAATAATGCATTAAGCACTGTCAGATCATGAGACACCAGCGTAAGAGGAGCCATATGAATACCATAAATAAAAGTCAGTGCAAAAACAGCCAGCGACTGTCACAGGCTTTGAATCAAACAGCAATGATTTTCACCCTCCTGAAGGCGGCTAGCTTCATCAGGCCCATGAAGATCCCCACTGAGCAAAGCCCTTAAGCACATGCTTAACTTTAAACCTGGGCTTATATCCCACTGCTTTCAAGGCGTCTTAAGTGCATGCTTGAGCGTTTTGCTGAATTTGGCCCAAACTGAATAAGAAAGTGCATTTTAAGACTTCCAAAAATTCACATTGAATGGGGTTTGCATCTTCCAGCCATAAGAACTGCCCCATTTATAATGGCCTAATCTGATTACAGGCAAAGCTGGGTAGACAGTAATCTGCCACTATGATTTTAACAACAGATGCCATTTGCATATTTTATATCAATTAATCCTTTTCTATTCTGCTTGCATTGTCTTGCTAGGAGACTGTTTCACTGAGACTTAAGGGGGAGAGAGAAACTCATTCATGGAAAAAAAGTGAAATAATGCAATCTCAGCTGTCAAAATGGATTACGCGGCATACACAGCATTCAAACTCTCCCTACAAAAGTGAAACGGTCCCTTTCTTGCTTCTAAAGAAGGCTTTATTCTGCCTTCGTTCTCTCCCCTCCATTCCAAGGATTAAGGGAAAAAAGAGTAAAATAAAATACTTTGCATGGGCAAAAGCTTCAGTTTTTTCCCCCTTTAACTTTGTAAAAAGATTTGCGAAGACCAAAGCAACCAAAATCCAACCTTTTCTCACTCTCTACCCAAGTCTGGATCACCTTCCCAAACTTTTTCCTACTGTGTACCCCCTTCCAGATTTACTAGCTGCCCACGTACCCCTGCCAGCATATTATAACCTCTTATATACTAATTATTACAATGAAAATGAAATCTGCCATTGCACAATTTCTCCGGCCTATCCCCCAGAGATGTCTGGGGTATGTGTACCACAGTTTGGGATCCCCTGTCCTGAACTGTTCTCAAAAAACCCCCACTTGGGACACTTCCACTGCAGTTACCAGCAGGTTTGATACGAGCTCACGGCTGGCTTTTCAATGCCCACAAGAGGAGACAGACTTTTGCATGAACTCAACAGCTAAATAAGAGTCCCATTTATAATAAAATTCATCTCTAGCCAGACTTCCTAAGAGCCAGGTGGTTAATGAGTAACCAATAAGCCAACTGGCACAGGATGCTGAGTTCGGGGAATTCTTGTGACGGTCTTTCTTTCTTACCCCAGGGTTTTTCTCGCTGGAAGGTGGTAGCAAAGTTTGGCTAGTGAGTCCAGAAACAGAGGTCCAAGCCTCAGGCCAGATGTACAGGGAAAGCTGCCCTCTGTCGTCAATGGAAAACTGGTCACGGGGCTGTGGGGTGTCAAAGGCAGTCAGATGTGGTAACAGCCCCATCTCCCTTAGGTGCTGTCGGGGATGAAAACTGGACCAGTCTGGTCAGCCGTTCTTGCCCATCTCTTACTTCAAGTCTGCAACCTCCCTCTGCCCGTCTCCCACAACCGATTTGCTTGCATCCTTCATCCAAACAGCCGTTGTCATCCCACCGGGGTGAGAGGTACGTATCATCGAGCAGAACGTAGCTCCAAGCGGACCCCTTGGCAAACCTCAGAGGAGTTTCTGTTCACAGGAACAGCCCTGTTGCCCATTCTTCCTCTTCCCCAATCAATCCCATCGCTTCTCAAACTCCTTGTAGCGCAGCTGGATCTTGTTAAGCGCATGGAAAGCAACCAGGTGGGAGCTACCACACCCTGGTAAAATTAAGGATGATAAAGGCAAGGCCGGACAGGGCAAAGGCTTGCTCAGCAAGGCCCCCACCCATGCTGCCCAACTCATGCGCAGTCTTGGCTCGAGGCTGCGTCTCCCCCTGGGGGAGGACCAAGAGGGGGACCATCGCTCGGACCAACCCCCCTGACCGCTGCCGAGGACAGTGTAGGGACGGCTCTCCCAGCAAGTGTCCTTCACCGGGGTTTTGGTTCCTAGAAACAAAGCACAAGGGAGAAGCAACACCAGTTTGGAGGCCTGACCCCGGCCGGCTGCCTTTGCCAGCTGAGCCACCTCTTTTCACACCAGGGTGGCCCAGCCCTTGCCCCTGCCCTCCCCCAGGCGCCAGGGGCTGGGTTGGGCACCCACCTATAGTGCGTCCTGCGGTACTGAAAGAGCACAAGGTAGCGCTTCGGGCCCATGGTGCAGCGATAGCTCGTGTGCACACGTCCGCCCCCCCACACACACACGTACACACAGTGGCGTATCAACACCCCCCATACACACCTGGCAGTGTACACACTGCAGTATACACACACACACACCGCTGTACACACAACAGGATATATACAGACATGTACACACACGGCAGTGTACACATGTACACACAGAGGTATAGATACATGCATGCACACTCCCCCAGTATACACACACAGCAGTATACAGACGTACACACAGCTGCGTATCTACACACATGTGCGCAGCCCCCCAGCATACACACACGGCAGTGTACACACATACACACAGCAGTATACATACACACGTGTACACCCACACACACACGTACACACCCACCAGTACACCTACCATGCACGTATGTACACATACACCGGTATACACACACACACACGTACACACACACCAACACATACACCCACCAGTATATATATGCACATATGTACACACCCACCAGTATGCATATATGCATCCACACACATCAGTATCCACACACGTGCCTATATGTATACACACATATGCACCCCCCCCCCGGTACTCACACACGTATACTCTCAATATACACACAGACATGCATATATGTACACACATAACAGTATCCACACACGTGCCTATATGTACATACACACCTGTATGTGTATACACATGCACATATGTACACATGTAGCAGTATCCATACACACACATATATGTACACACACACACACGTATACACACTAGGGCTGTGGAAAACTTTGGATCATGATTCAGATTCAGAGATGATTTGGATGATTTGGAGGCCGAATCTATAAATACCAATCAAATTGCGGGAAGCTTGAGGCTTTCCGAATTGATTCAGAGCTTCCGAATCGAATCGTGGGCATCCGAATCGGCCAAGTCTAAACCCAAACCCGAATCGAATAGTCCCCTATTTGCACAGGCCTAATACACACACATACATACACACACACACATACGTACACACACACTTGTATATGAATACATGCATGTGTACACACGCTGGTATACACACACATATGTACACATCCACAGGTATATAGACACACACCTTTCTGTACACACACTAGTATACACACATGGACATAATCCTATGTATACACACACACAACACAAACATATAACAAAAATATTCTTCTGCCTGGTTTTGCAACTTGGACAGCTATGGGAAGAACAAGAGCGCAGAATGGACCGGAGACCCGTGGCGAACATAGGGAATCTGCCCAGGCCTAGCGCTGTGGCCCCCCCGCAGCTGAGAAGCCTGCAAAAGCACAGTGAAAAAACACAAAACACTGGGTACCATTCTCAAAATCACCCAAGGGGCTGCCTTAGCAATAGCCCCAGTGCCCACGCAGGACCCTTGCGCCTGAGCGGAGGTGTGCTTGGAATCGGGATTATCGCAACGGCAGCGACAGATCCTGGAGTTAGGCAGGGGGACATTTCCGTAGAGCACTGAGGACACGGCAGACCCTTGCGGTGGAGAGTTCAGGGGTTGCTAACCTTTCGGGCTATCCTGCAGCTCTCCAGGCTTTTGTCCTACTGGCATCCTGCTCTGCTGCTGCTGGGGGCTATTTAGTTGGCATTTGTTCCTTGCAGCTCACTCCATTCTGCTTTGACCCCTCACTTGTGCATGCCAAGAAAATGCTACTGGGAGACTGAAACTGGGCCCCGGAGCAGTGTGCTCTGAGTACCCCAAGGAATGTGACTTGGGGAGATGCAGAGGGAGCACCCTCAGGCACCCGACAGCCGGAATCCCTTTGGCTGCCGGTGGGATTCAGGCTCTGAAGTGCATATGTCCCTTTGGACGGTGGGTCCTGGCTCTCTGAATCACTGGCCTTGGGCGTAATATCTTCTAGATGCACGTGATTTTCAACCTGTGCCTCTGCCTTCTCTGTGTCCAAGGGGAGCAGCAGGATTACAGGATACCCTTTTCCATTTGGCCATGGACCCTTCCACCCATGGTTCCCTGACTCATGAAACCCACTAGAGCCCCAGGATAAAAAATAAACCGGGCTTCCACTATTCAGACCGTAATTACGATCATCCTGTGTCCATGGAACGTGCACCATGCAATCCCTTCTAATTAATGCAAAGGCATTCAGCATCTTGTTGCAGTTTAATATCTGTATGGGGATTTGCATAGATTAACATACTAGCAGATGCAAGCAGTACTGCAGCCTATACCCAGTCACACGGGAGCAGCATAAGAACTGCCTACATTTCTCCTGGCGTCCTAACACCATATCCACACAACTGCAAGCCAAGTCTCGGCTCACGTAGAAACCCCAAACCAGTGCTGGGCATCCGGGCGAGCAGAGGAAAAGCGACACCTTGTTGTACCTATAATCCTTAACTCAGGGAACCCTAATTGATATTAGGCCAGTGTCCCTGTGTCTATTCAGTACTGCTCTTCTGTGAATGCCCTTGCATGTATGGACTGGATTATCTTTTATTTTCATCAGTAATCGCTGCAAATAATCAGGGCAACGTCAGCGGGACACGCAGCTGCCATTTGATTGCATAAGTATGACATTTAAAGTGATGCAGAAACAAAGGGTAGCTCATGGGACCAGTTCCAGCTTCTTCCTTTTGTCCCATGCATAAGGGCACAGGAGTGGGAAATAGGACACTTGGGCTCTATCCCTGTCTCTGCAGCATAGAGAATATTGGAGGAAATCAAATCAATGTTCTGTAAATCGGTTCCCCTTTCTGCTAAATGGACGTAATGGCAGTGACCTGCCTTTGCAAATACAATAGCAAGAACTAGCTCTTGTCCCCCAAGGATCTCATGGCACTTTACAGCAGAGCTCAGCACTGTTATCCATTACTGACAGGGAAACTGAGGCACACAGGGGCTCACCTAGGGTCGCCCAGCCGGTAAGGGAGCTAAGAACAGAACCAAATTCTCCTGAGTCCTGGGAATGTTCTGTCAACTAGGCCACATGGCTGCTTTGAGTCTTACATGGAAAATTTCGGATAGACTTGGAAGCAGTGAATATTAGTTATTTTAGTGGTAATTAGTGGTGTCATGAGAAGCCTGAGTTGGGGTTTTTCAGCTTGTTTCAGGTGCAAAAGCAATTAATCCCCATTAGGGCTAAATCAGGCTGGATCCAAGTCCCACATAAGTCAGAGAAGCATGTTGAAAAATAAGGCTCCCACTCATCAAACACCAAAGCACAAGTGTAACTTTACCCCTATAAGCACTCTTTTAGAAATATTACTTGCATGCAAGGAGTTGGCAGGATTGGACTCTCAGGGTACAACAGCTACTAGTATAGCCTTGCGCATGGCCATGGGCCGTGGAGCTAATCACCGGGACAAAGTAAGCGAGCATAAGCCAGGCTTTGCAAAATCAGACTCTTTTCTGGTTTCGGAATCACTGGGCGCATCTACACTAGACGTTTACTGCCCGGTTGCCTAATTAGCTCCGCAGTAAAATGTCAGAGTCTACACAGGTGCTATTAGGTCCGAGCAAACCAATAAACGCTGCAGTAGGTTAGTACTGCTAGCTACAAGTATTAACCTACAGCAGAGTTATTTATTCGTCTATTTATTTTTGTAAATATATGTGTGTGTGTATATATACATATATATAAAGGTTATATATATATTTATAAACACACATACACATATACATATATATGTATACACACACACACACCTTCTAGTCACTGATCATTGCCTCCTTAAGCCCCCATAGGGACTCATGCACCCATTACAATATACGCACCTGCAGAATGGCATTCCTGCGCACCCGTCCACAAGGCATCATGTCCCTTAAACCCCTTGTCTCTTAGTCCTGTATCTAAATACGGGGTTCAAAACTCAGTTCAACTTGGCTTGCAATCCTAATACCTGTCACTTCCGCTGGAGGACCCGCTGCTGCTGTCCTCGTCGCTGTCTTCTGGTCTGGTTGTCTCAATGTCCGCTTCACTGTTGCTGTCCATTTCCCCACTGGGGGGGAGGCGTCTTGAAAGATCCTATGACAAGTGTCCCTCTGCCAGGTGGATTTGGCTGCACCCTCACCATCCTCTGCTACTGATTTCTGGTAGTAGGACTGGAGTTTGCTCAGAATGAGACTTTTTATTAGACCTACTAGGACACTGCAAAAAAAAAATCTCATGTTCTTTAAACCTTTTTTTCTTTAACCTACTGCAGCATTTATTTGTTTGCTTGGACCTCATAGCACTCATGCAGATAATTTTTTTTGCGATATCCTAGTTCAGGGGTCAGAAACCCCCGGCACGCGTGCCGAGCATGGCACGCAAGGCCATTTTGCTCGGCGCACCACCGCCAGCCCGGGCTCTAAGCAACTGCTGCCAGCCACCGAGCCCAGGCTGCTCCCAGCAGGCGGCTGGGAGGCTGCAAGCCCTGCTGCAAGCAGACCGGGCTCCGTGGGCCGGCTGCAACAGGGAGGCTGCACACAGCGGCTCCAGGCTCCGGCATGGCGGCACTCCAGCACCTTCCAAGGTAGACATTGTGGTTTTTTTGGCACTCCAGCCAAAAAACGTTGCCTATCCCTGTCCCAGTTGGTCTAGTGTTTCCCAACTGGTGCGGCTCGGCACAAAAGTGCGCCCTCAGAAACGAACAGGG